CCATGTTCTTATAACGAATCCATACCTCTGGGGATACTGAACGTTCTCTGCTTCAGCTCAAAATTACGATCTGTGGATGGATGTATGCATGAATGGGTCTGCCCTATAAACGGGTGTGACTTATGGGTGTGGTAGAAGTTGAATTCCTGGACATAGATGGCGCCACTGGAAAAAAGAAGTATCGGACCACTTGCCTTTGTGGCCTACGACAACAGCAACGCCATTTTCATAATTAATACCGATCGTGCTGAGTTAAGAGGGAGTTAACTCAATCTAACAGTCATGAATAACTCTTACAGTTTCATAACAATCATAAAAATAACATAATCATTTGATAAAACGTTATTTCATATGACGGCGGAACCTTTAGAAAAACAGTATGGTTGCATTGTTCCAAATTATTTTCTAAATATAACTATATTGATTACAAAATAATTAGACAAGCTTAAGACTTTGTTTCGTAAGGATGCAAAAAACTATTTTCTTAATAGAATAGGAAAGAAAAGAATCTACATTATCAACTGAACGTTTGATACTTAAAATTATGACTTATTATATCCCTAAAAAAGTGCCGGCTTGAAAAGAAAATGTGGCTTCCTTACATTGTAACTCAGTTTTAAAAGAAGAAAAAAGTGCTACAAATAAATAAATAAATGGACCACCCAGAATAATTCTTGAGTATTCTTATATGCTTAGGACTCACTTTTAGTGGTTTGAGGGGATGATCTCAAATATGCTAAATAATTAGTGCAGATATTTTAAGTTGTGAAATTAAGCACTAAAACATACTTTCTCTGAATAAACATACCTTTTTTTCGACGGATTTCGATTTCTGACCAGCAAAATATACAGAACAGCCGCAATCTGGGAAATATAGTCCCAATAGTTTGGTCAGGAGAGCAACTTCAAAGTTTTGACTAATTAATCTTTTTTTTTCTTTCTTTTTTCTCCCATGAGCTGCACAATCAGTCATCCCGATGAGCAGACCTAGTGCGTTCTCCAGAAGTGGTATCCACTCTTTCAGGATCACCACAATGGGTGAGATACCGTTGGCCATGTTAATTTGGACGTCTAGTTTCTGCCACACTAGATGGCAGCACTGAGACTCTATTTGGATGCTAAAGTGCACTAGGAATTTTAATTTTGCCGGAAATGCCGAGAGAGCCAATAAGGCACTCCAGGGATCTTTTACATGCCGCATCATACGACATGGCCGCTGAGGATTTTCTGCATCCCGAAAATCCGGTGTCTGGGTCGGGGATCGAACTAGAAGACTTGGGCTCAGAAGGCCGACGACAAACCAACTGCGCCACCCAGCCACAATAATCTTATTATTTGCATATTTCAAAATATCTTGAGAACGTTTTAAGCAAATTGAACAATTTTTGGACGTTTGACGTTCAAAAATTACGTTTATCTACAGATAATTAAATACAAAATGAAACTTTTAGTAAATATTTATTATTTTTTGTTATTTTATTTAAGAACTATCGAAAAAAATTTTAAATTGTAAGGTATAGAGTTTTTTCTTATATTATTTTAAAGAATGCAATTTTAAATGGCAAAATACAAAATTTGAGAGATTTGGTCAGATAGTTCCTAAGAAATCGAATTTTGAAAGAGTAATAATTTTAAAATTCGTTTTCTTAGGAACTATACTACTAAATTTGCCGAAAAGAATATGTTTATTCAGAGAAAGTACGTTTTTGTAACTTAAAATGTCGTCTGTACTAATTAATAAGCCCATTTGTAATAACTCTTTCAAACCTTTAAGATGGAGTCCTAGAACGTGAAAATCCGATCTTTCTTTGCAAATGTTTTTAATCAAAGCCATTACTAAAGCTATTGCTCGTGTAATGTAGGAAGAAAGAATTAAGAATACTAAAAATTCTTTTAAAAATATTCTTTGAGAAAGTTGAGACAGATATGCATTTTCAAACCAAGACTTCATTTGATTCAAATAATAGCAGTTGGAGATTTATGCAGAAAGTTAAAAAGGCCTGTAATTACGTAGGGCACCATGTGATAATCATTAACCAATCCGATTCACTAATACGATTATCTGTAACTTTGAACAGATCTGCAAGAAGAGTTTAATTCACGCCGTTGTTTAAGAAGATTGGAGTTTCTTTTGTGTCTGCTACGTTTTTTTTTCTCTCGTAGCGATCTAGCATACGATCTTACTCACGAAATTTCACCCTCACCTATCACAAGGAGTGCAATATAACGTGCTATTGACCTTAATAGCACAACGCCAGGATTCGTCTTTTGGTACATTACTGGCGGATAACAATAGAGCGTCATGCAATATTATTCTTTTTTGCGAATGGAATTAATCCGCGTGCGTTTAGAAGATAATGATGGTGCAGATGCAAATGCGTCTAGAGCTGTTTAGTATTGTCGTGTGGAATTGTCTTGACTCTTTTTCTTTTCGCCTTTTTGTTCTAGAATGGCTTAGACGTGTGCGGGGCTTTAAAGATTGGCAAATCCACGAAGCAAGTATAGTCAGTTGTAAAATCATTCTTTGTTTTAATGGAGTTATTTCTCACCTTTCGGATTTAATTGAGAGTATCTTCGTTTGAAGAAATAGAACAAAAAGAAAAAACTGTTTAGAACTTTCGTCTGTTTTGAGTTAAGTATTGTACTGGAATAAAAATATAATTACTCTGTTTTGATTACTAATTTTCTTTTACTATTAAAACAAAATATTATCGTCTCGACCTTTATTTTATAAAGAAATAAAATCCTTTGGTTACAATTAGGAATCGATTAATCAGGTAATAAGAAATAATGCTCTACACTCTCAGGGTCAACGGTACAATATGGTCCGTATTACACAATTACCGCTTTTATCTCACTGTCTAGTTTATATCCATCAATCTGAAGCTGGATGAACTTCTAGACCCACTTGAGTTGGGTACTTAATACTTTTAGTCACGTCACACTAGAGCTGCACACTGGGCTATTGGCGACTGTCGGGGAAACATTCCTGAGGATGATCCGGAGACAACATTCATACGTCACATCCCGTTTTTCAGGGAAACACCTTCTCACGCCATACATCCATTCGTCGAACGTAATGTGGACCTGAACCAGAGTACAATTAATCTCAGATCCAGTACCCCCAGAGATATCGTTTTGTTATGGGAACTTGAAGAACTTTGTGACGTTGACAGATTTACCGTGCACCAGTCACCATTTTGTACATGAGAGTCTTCGGTCGGCGGGGATCGAAGTCACGACAAATCAGACATGGGCCCAACGCCCTACTAACCCGACTATTTCAGCCCCCACTTGAGTTAGAGACAGCTCCCTGTCTAAGGAGGCCTCTACCCCCACCAAGTTGGATTCCTTCAACGATTTATGAATGATCCTCAATCCATTATTGCGAGTTCATTCTTGTTCAATTCAATATTTTCCTGTGCAAAGTTTTTATTTAGGTTTCCAACCAAACGCATATTTTACTTATTATTCTCCGGGGCTTATGAGCAATTTCTCAATGAAATACCACTTTCTCTGCTTAATTCTATGTACTATTGGGTGATTCCACAGCTGAGTGGACATAACAGATTATTATTTCACTCTGGTTTTATTATGAATAGAGTCGAATGTAAGCTCCTTGAAGCCATTAGTTGGTTGATTTAATAACGACATGCAGTTTATGAATATAATGCTTTGGGAGCAATGATGCTGAAAGGTGTCGTCGAGGTCCAAGTGACAGCAATGCTGTTCCAAGGGGCCATCAAGTTCCACGTGGGATAAATGTTTCTGAACGCATTTAGGTCTCCTTAGTAGATGCATTTGAAAGAACGAAGCAGTGTTGGTTGAAGTACTTCATAAATTTACTAAAATCGCTATTTTGCTAATTTTCAAAAAATTTTGTTATAGGGCTTCAAGAACTAGATCTTAATTGATGAGAAAAAGAAAAAAACAAACCTGATAATTTTTACAACTATTGCATGTTTTGATACAGTTGAATAAGAGATGTTTTCGTTTCCAAACTTTAACGTATCTTTGAAAAAAATAAGATAAGAATAGCTAACAAAATTAATTTATTCCCAAAAATTACGCATAAACTGGTTATTTTTTTTATGTAATTTTAATGTTCATCCTTCAAATTTATAAACAAATTTTCAAATCACTTCTAAAAAAAATGTCCGCCAGAGATGTGAAATGAATCCATAAGACTTTCCATTTTGACCAGATCAATCTGGAAAGTTATTCATACACCATCTATGCAGGATAAGCATGTAGGCTATTTCCATACCAACAACGAGCTACAAACTAACATCCAGATCCATCTTATATGTTGTTGTCGTCGTGAATTAAGGCAGAGTTTTCTAGTGACGTCATCCATGGTCAAGAATTCTACTTCTACCACACCCATATGTCACACCCGTTTACAGGGCTAGAAAATTCATACCCGTTCATTCATCCACAGATCATAATTTTGACCTTAACCAGACAACGATCAATCTCCAATTAAGTACTCCTAGAGATATTGATTTGTTATAGGAACAATGAGGACTTTGTGACCCGACAGATTTAACGTGCACCAGTCATCATATGAGTCCAGCGCCCTGCCAACCAGGCTATCCCGGCCATCCATCTTATATTGCAGGCAAATTAAAAAAATGTTAACTCAGAATGCAGGATGATGTCTTTACATTAATCTAGTATGGAAACTAAAGGTTTTAGACCAATCAGTTTTAAAGTTCATCATGAAGACCATTTCATATCATTGGTTATACGGTATTTCGTAAAGGTGTACGAAAGGTCGTTTAAATATTGAGAAGATTTCGAAGGGTCATTTAAACGTACAACAAATACTTCTATCTCGTTAGGTTTACGTCCATAAGTAACCACGTGCGGCTTTACCTTTTGTTAATAAAATTATTTTGTCCAATTAAATATTTCATGATTCAATAGAAATTATCAAAACTGAATCTTGTAGTTTATTTTGTATTATTTTAAACTAATGTATTCTTATTATTCTGTAGGCTAAAAAGATTGCACTGCGACTTCAATATTTTGAGCCAACTTCCTTATGATTGGTCATCTTCATCATCACTCTCCACACTTACTCTCTCGAACAATAATCTAATAGAACTTCCCGTTACTATATGGACTTTACAATCTTTAGAAATTTTGAATTTACAAAAGAACAGAATTTCTAATATTGGTCCATTGCCAAATGGTGCTGCGAGTCATTTAAAAGAGCTTAGGTTGTCATGGAATAGATTGTCTGGATCTTTGGATTTATCTCCTTTAGAGGTAAGAGATACTTTAAAAAAATGTTTTAACCTACCAAGTAAGTCAAGTTCTGAAAAATTTTGACTGGGATATTGCAGATATATAATTTTAAATGATTATTTTGCTATGGTGGTCAGAAATATTTTGATTTAAGTAGATACAAATTAATAATTATACGATTCACCAAATAAGTCGAGTTTTGAGAAATTTTGACTCGGTTATAGCAGATATATAATTTTAAATGATTATTTTACTATGGTGGTCAGAAATATTTTGATTTAATTGTATACAAGTTATTAATTATGCGATTCACCAAAGAAGTCAAGTTCTGAGAAATTTTGACTCGGTTGTAGCAGATATATAATTTTAAATGATTATTTTACTATGGTGGTCAGAAATATTTTGATTTAATTGGATACAAGTCATTAATTATACGATTTACCAAACAAGTCAAGTTCTGAGAAATTTTGACTGGGTTATTGCAGATATATAATTTTAAATGATTATTTTACTATGGTGGTCAGAAATATTTTCATTTAATTGGATACAAGTTATTAATTATACGATTTACCCAAGAAGTCAAGTTCTGAGAAATTTTGACTCGGTTATAGCAGATATATAATTTTAAATGATTATTTTACTATGGTGGTCAGAAATATTTTGATTTAATTGGATACAAGTTATTAATTATACGATTTACCAAACAAGTCAAGTTCTGAGAAATTTTGACTCGGTTATAGCAGATATATAATTTTAAATGATTATTTTACTATGGTGGTCAGAAATATTTTGATTTAATTGGATACAAGTAAATAATTATACGATTCACCAAATAAGTCGAGTTTTGAAAAATTTTGACTCGGTTATAGCAGATATNAGTTTTCAGTTTGTTCTACGTGACTTTCAGTCTGATTTGCTCTCAACAAAATCCAACATGGTGGTCAGAAATATTTTGATTTAATGAGATACAAGTTAGTAATTATAAGATTTACCAAAATAAGTCAAGTTCTGAGAAATTTTAACTGGGTTATTGCAGATATATAATTTTAAATGATTATTTTACTATGGTGGTCAGAAATATTTTGATTTGATTGGATACAAGTTATTATTTATACGATTTACCAAATAAGTCAAGTTCAGAGAAATTTTGACTGACTTATTGCAGATATATAATTTTAAATGATTATGGTGGTCAGAAATATTTTGATTTAATTAGATACAGGTTATTAATTATTCGATTCACCAAATAAGTCAAGTTCTGAGAAATTTTGACTGGGTTATTGCTGATATATAATTTTAGATGATTATTTTACTTCGGTGGTCAGAAATATTTTGATTTGATTGGATACAAGTTATTAATTATTCGATTCCCCAAATAAGTCAAGTTCAGAGAAAGTTTGACTGGGCTATTGCAGTTATATAATTTTAAATGATTATTTTATTATGGCGGTCAGAAATATTTTGATTTAATTAGATACAAGCTATTAATTATTCGATTCACCAAATAAGTCAAGTTCTGAGAAATTTTGACTGGGCTATTGCAGTTATATAATTTTAAATGATTATTTTGCTATGGTGGTCAGAAATATTTTGATTTAATTTGATACAAGTTATTAATTATACGATTCACCAAATAAGTCAAGTTCTGAGAAATTTTGACTGGGTTATTGCAGATATTTATTTTTAAATCTTAAAGGGTAGACTTGTTTTAAATTTTTATTACCTCTTAATTTTTTAGTGTTATTAATACTAGTGCGATAAATTGTGACAAGATTTTTTCAATGATACAAATACCTTATTTTAAAGCTCGATGACGAAAAGTTCCTAGTAACATTTTTGGAAGGATTGAGATTTTCAATGCTTTTGTATCAGAAGTTGCCTTTTTTATGTGTGGCAAGTTTTTTTATGTATGCATATATTGAATCTCATGAAAAAAAAAAAAAAAACTATAAGTGAGGTTTTGTTTACAGTTTCTTAAATAAACCACGGTCTCTCTAATCGAAAAGTAGATTAAGTGTTTTGAATTAGTTATTTTTCCTTATTACTTTTTTTTCACGTGACTCAAACTGCGCTTATTATAAGTAGCTTTAAATATGAGATATAAATTGCTTCCTTGTTTCTTCCTAAACAATAACAGTATATATAAATCTGTGATTCTGACAGCTTTTGGAAATTGAAAAGTTTCCTCAATTAATGCACCTTTTCCAGTTCATATTTTTATTGGCCAGTCACCTCTTGATCCTATTAATCCGTCTAATTTCAATACAGAAATTATTATTTTTTCAGGCTATTTGTGGTTATTTTATTTTCTACTAGCTGTTGCCAGCTCTGAAGTAGTTTGATTTCAATTTTTACTGTTTTTAAGAGATATCCGTGATATCGTCAAAGTTCTCTGTGTATTGAATTTTAGTAATAATTTTAAATCTGTGAGGCAGCCATTAAATCACACGAACCAACATTAAGTATGAATTCGGTAAATTTTAGAATAGTAGGTAGCAAAAATGTTAAAATTATTTTCCTTCCGATCCACAGTGGGCTAGCATCCAAGGTTTCGTGGCCAAAATTAGTATTTCAATAACATTTATTTCAAAATTTGGGGGCTTTTATTTAGAGGTTTTTATGTGCAGGTAAATTGAATTCATAGTTGAATTTTTGAAATACACTAAAAATACCCCCCCCCCCAAAATGGCGGCTGAAATATGGCGAGCAAAAATAAAAATAATAATACAGTACGTTTAAATAATTAAACATAGCAATGGAAGTATAATAATTTTCGTAATTTTATATTAAAAATGAAAAGCAAATTATATTTCCGAAGTAATATTACAGAATAAAGCGAAAACAGGAAAAAAACATAATTTTTGTTTTTTGGTATTTTTAGTCCACCTGTGCAATACGGGTAAAATGTTACAGGTTTTTTCGAAAGAAAAAATATCGAAGAAGACATCAAAATTTTTTTTTTATCTAATTACCTCGTGGAACTTTTTGGAACTAAGTTTCGAAAGTCATTCAAATATTGTGAAATGTCAAATGATAAGATATAAACTATAAGTTTGTCAAGAGAATTAACTAATCCAACAAATTGAAGCATTGTACTATAATTTCAGACTAATTATTCTGTAGACTCATTCAGACTAATTACTAAGGAATTTCAGACGAAGGAAGGAAGGACATTTCAGACTAATTACTCTCAGACTAATTATGTAATAGTAAGGTGAAATTCCTATATATATTTCTGAAATAAAAATGTAAAAGTTACATTAAAAAAATTCATTACATTGTACTCTTGTCGGTTCAAAAAGTAAATTATAATGTTTGGAATGATTATGAATACTTAATTTGGGCTATATTAAAACTGCCTACACATATTTTAGTTGAAAATTTAATTTTCGATTTTTGGCCAAAGATCGTGGTCTTCTGGCCCACAGTGCGGTCGTAAGATAAGATAGAAAACTTTTTATGTCTAAAATTTTTTCATTCATTTTAGAAAGGATAAAAAATAAATCTTAATTATTACTTCGTAATTAAGTTTTTATTTCGTTAAAAATACAAAATTATTCTAAAGAAATACTTAACGTATAAATAATTATTTAACTCTACTTTAACTATTACTTAAGACAACATAACAAAATGAATTGTTATAGATGGTTATAGCGTTGCCAATTTGGATAGAGAAATACCCGTGTTTTTCGAGCCACGTAAGAGAGATAAATATATAGCCTATTAATTGATTCTGTATGATGTTTTGATTAAGCTAAGTGTTGTAATTTATTTTACTATTTTGAACTTTTTTGTACGAATTATGTTAAAATTGCTCTTATATTCCTTATCATTTACGATTAAATGCATCAAAATGCGTTGTGAGATCTTCCATTATGGACCGAATTTGGAATCTCATTTCAACATAATTTCTACAATTGGGTACTTGTTCGAAACACAAGTGTGACTGCGCTGGGAGGTATCCAATTAAAATTTGATCAAAAAAATATTGATGCAGCTTGACAATAAATCCAATCCTTATAGCTGTAAAGTTAACACGCCATGCACAACCACGTGATTAGTACCCGATTCATGGAGGATAATAAGACATTTTTGAATTTTATATACTATTATTTAAATAAAGTCATCTTTTTTAAAAATTTTAAGGCTATTAATATTTTTGTGTTTATTTTATTATTTTAATTGTAATATTTTTTTGTAATTGTAATATTGTAATTGTAATATTAATAATATTTTTTTTTATTTTTAAAAATGAAGTGAAATTCAAAAGGTAGTTTAACTAAAGATTCCATATTATATACTAAAAAAAGTGAAAATTTATTTTGACTGCCAATTGTGAACCAAGGGGTCGTGGAAATTAAAATTCCACACTTTTTCTATTCAATCCATTTCATTTAGATTATGGCAATGAAGTTAGCATTGCGCACAAGCTGCCTTCACTTCCAAGACAAGTTACTACCCATCGATCTGAAATATGGGTGGGTTTTAGTTTTCACTATCGAACCCCAGTTTTTCTCAATAAGTCAGTGCCTTTAACCACTGAGCTGTATTTTTTGATTTAAAAAGCAATGAGTTTTAATAGTTTATCTATTTAAAACAGAGCATTTTTTTAAAAATTAATTATCAATTAAAAAGAATTTCCTCCATAAGCATTTTGAGTATAATGGTACAGTAAATGTTATGAAAACATCATGATGGAGCATCAGTAAATCATCATTTAACGATTATTGCACTTTAACAAATCTTGTTAATATATTAATTGTTCAATACTCGCAACATAGAGTAATATTACTTGAAAAAAAAATCCTGGTAAAAGTATCGTACTGTAACGGTATACGGTATTTAAAATATTTATTTGGTAGTTTATCCTTTCATATGGTAACGGTTTACCGGAAATTCTAGTTTTTAAAGTGCTATAGTTCTTATTACCACACATTTAGTAAAAAATAAAAAACTGAAAAGTAAATTTAACCAAATAAATGGTTTTTATGCCATGTTCTATGTTATCATAATAAAATTAT